GGCAATCACCGATCATACACTTTTTCACGGAAATCGGCCGATTATGATTGGTGGCCGATCGATCGGCACACCTCTAGTCTTTACCTACAAAACCAAATTTCACACCTCTTCACTGAAGAACTGCACAAAGTCTGTTTTGTCAATATTTTAAGATTTTATGTTTTCCCAAACCCTCAGTAACAGCAAGAATATACATCAGTGTTTCAGAACAGTACAAAAAAAACTAATGAATGAAATCACACCAATATCATCTAAAAAAGCCAAACATTACACATACATTTTTAAAGATAACTGCTCAAAAGCACAAATCATCAACATGGACAAAAATCAGCCTCAGCAACCATTTAGGAAAGAATAGAAATACTTAATACAGACAATAACAATACTCATTTTAAATGAATGCATCTTTAATTTATCAAATGCCTCATAACAGTTGGTTCTCAACCCGCGTACTTATTGTAGTTTTATTTCTAATCTGCAATTCATAAGTTTTAAAAACTTTTTTTAAAATGCTGACAACTACAAGCTCATAGCAAAAATGTTAATTTATAACCACAGAATAAAAGCTTATTGTTAATCAGTTGGTCAGATTTTAATAAGGTCATCACAATTCTAAAAAATGAAAAACAGAATATACTGATGGTCAAGCATGAGTGTTACATATGATATGTAAAAGACAGTGTCAAGACACTGATGTTTACATCACAAAGGTAAAGCAACTATTTTTCCATGCAAGGTTTCCTGTGAGGCTGAGCACATTAATAATCAATATTCTTAACCAGAATCAACAATCTCTACAGCCATTATGGGTGGATTTGTCTCCTGAAGAAGTGTTCAAAATGTTAGGTATTTTCAAATATGATTTTCAAATAGGGACAACTTAGAGAGACCAGTAAACAGTCAAAGTTTTGGAGAGAGTACCCAGAGAAAGCTCACTGGGTACTCAGTTGGTATCACTCACAACAAAAACGTTATGGGTTTGAATGGTTTAAAAATCATCAACTTACCTCCAGTGGAGACAACACTGGGACTTTGATGAAGTGCGATTGCTTACATCCAGATTACCTTCTGCAACAGATGAGCAATAACCTTAATGACAATGTAAAAAGTTTTAATTCCTCCTATTTTTTTAAAACCAAGACATTTCTACGCAAGCAGATTAATCTTGTTGGATCAAGTTATTTTTACCATCAGAAAAATCAATATGTACAGTAAACCCTTAAAAGGAATGAGAGCAACATCAATATAGGGTGTACACACCTAAAGTGTGCCATTTAATCGAACCAAATTGGATTTATTTGTACTATGAGGACACAGAAGCACCTGAAGGATGCTCACTGAAATTCTTTCAAAGATTACCATCTTCCTTGAAAGGTTGATAATGGAATAACTGTGTCCTCAGCAACTTGCTACAGTAACACCTTCAAACAAACTTCTGGAACAATGTGTATGAAATATCCTTTACTTTGTACATAACTATTTAACATGTTTTCATCATATTCAGTTTATGTCATAATGAACACTATAAAGGTTGGTGAAGCTTGGAGCAGCTGCAGATGTGAAACAAAGTAGTTTCTGAGGAAAAAATAGCTTTATTAAACCCCAAGATAAGACCTTTATTTAACTTCTTGCTGTTGCATTGTGAATCTCCCCAAAAACTCTGGGGTTTGCTTCACAATCTTCTCTCATGATTTCAGTTATCCCTTACTTTTTTTACCACAGTTTTTTTCTCTAAACTAGTAGATTCTTTGGCAATAACCTCTCCTGTCTTTACCTTCCCTTAAAGCCTTCAGTGTGGATGTCTAAAAAGTAAGCAGTCTTCCCCAATGACTGTAGGCCACAAATTGTGTAGCAAAATCTTTTCAATCGTTTCCATGATATATATTTTATGGATTTTCGTTTAGCATAACCAATAGTTGTTTATAAATGGAATTACCCAATAAATTAGGATTTCGATGGTATACTAATTAAACAGATATTCATAAATGAAGATCCAGGGAATGCTCATTTGAATTTTTGATCAGTTGTTGCCATTTAAAGGACCAAATAACTAAACATTCATCAACATAACCAGTTGGAAACCGTCAGTGCTTCACGGCAGTTGACAAAATGAGTTTAATATAATCAAAAGAAGAAAATAAACTCGTTCAATTAAAATATAAGCAGACAAACGAACTACGAAAGATGTCGCGGTCAAACCAGCGGTCGAGAAGTCAGAATGTTCGAGAAGGAAAGGTTAGCTACAAAGATTAGCTAGCTAACTGAAGGACATCTACCGAAACATCGCAGTACACAACCTATATGGAGAAACGTGATTTTGTGTGTCTATTTCTTATTTTAAAAATAAATCTCTAAAGTAAATATATTAACCCCTTTAAAACCTACCAAGGACCGCAAAAACGATAGCTTCCATATTTTCTTTGCTCGATGACGAACTTCAAACCGTACATAAACTGATACAGATAAAGGAATACGGGGTTCGCCACTCAGGTTTGCAGGGGCCGGAAAAATGCAGCTATGAATTTTTTACTTTCCAAGAAACTATGAAGGACCATAACCAGCATAAAATGGTACAGAAAATTTATAAAAATGTTTTGTAAAGCTTAAAATTTTGAATTAAATGTAAATTTTAGTCACCATTAACTTCTTAATAAATATAGATGTCTATGTCACCTTCTATTTAATTCACTTATTTAAATTAGTAGTAATAGTAGCAGTTTTTGTCCTACAGGATATTAGAAGCACTTTGTATTGCCTTGTTGCTGAAAATGTGCTATGTAAATAAAATTAACTTACCTTAGAAAATACTTTTTATGTTGAAGTCTTACCTTAATCATCACGGTAATATTGTTTAAAATATATTGCTAAGTAATATTTGTTTTTTGCTACTGTTAAGCCTTGTAGGCTCATATCAATCAATCCATCAAATTTCATTTGTATAGCACATTTCAGCAGCAAGGCATTTCAAGGTGCTTTACATAATTAAAAATAAAAATAAAAACAGCATGTGACATTGAATAAACAGTAACATATGTTGCTCAAATGTTTCATACACCACTGTACCTTTAACTTTTAATCTGAAAGTTTATAGTAAAAATAGAACAGTATACAAAATATGAGGCAAATAGAAAAGGAAGAAAATGCAAAACGAGAAATTTTACAGAATAAACTAACTATGAATAATAAAGAAATGTGTTTCCACCATCTGACCAACAGAAATGTTTTATTGAAATCTCACAGAATAAAGAAAATTTAAAATTATGACAAGAAAAAACAACTGTTTATTAGTTCCGACATCTCTTGATTCAGCTGCCATGTAAGTACGTTTCCAAAGACACAATTATTCAGAAGATGTTAAAGCTTTAGCTGCTGTAATGTAGGTTGTGGGTTATTTTGCTATAAAATTTTGTTGGTGGTGTGAATATTCAGTTTGTCTGAAACACCAACAGGAGACACAGGATGCAGAAATGAGACACGTGTGTGTTCTTCGCTGCTACCCGAGACCTGCTGAACTGATGGGAGGGCTGGCTGGGATGATAAATGAGTCTGCACATGCAGATAAAATATGAGCGACAATTTGCTGTCCAACATCTGACATATCAACAGACACTTAGCTGCTGTCCTGTTGCTGTCCCAAATACTGCTGGGAAATTTAACACAGTTATCAAGAACAGCTCTATTTGGATCTCTGGAAATATAGAAACACTCTGGACAGTATCAGTAGTGTTTGTATATTTCTTTAAAGGCTCTACCTAAATTTCACATTAAGATTGAAACGTTTGATCAGTCAGGAATGTGTGCTTAGGTTTTTTAAGATGTAGAAAACTTTATTCGAAATTTTTGTACCCCAACATGTCTCCGCCATGCTTGTCGCTGCCCTGTAAAAAATAAAAAATACAAAATTCAAAATACCGGCAGCTGGGTTGCCAGAATTTAAATTAAATACAGATAACCTGTCTCATACCTGAAGAAATGCACCTGTGCCTGTTTGGTCAGCTGGTTTTCCCGATGTATGCACTGTACAATGGCTGCTGGAAAAGACAGGGTTGTCATTGTGGGCTTAGCATCCAGAAACCCCTCGCTACACTCTGGTTGGTTGTGCAGGAGGCTCCACTTCTGCTTTTCAAAGATGTACTGTTGTATAACTGTGCATTTGTTTGCAGCCATTTCCACATTGAAGTGTAAATGTTGAGTCTAAATTCCCATTATTTAAGATTGATTTTGTAAAAAAAAAAAAAAAACCCATAATGAATATGTTTTGTATCACACAGATTCATTCTAACATGTTCAAGGAAAAATAATAGATCACCTTTAAAGTTTGTAGTTGTAGCCTGACATACTAGTTTAGTTTGTATGGAAACAACACAAATCTTATTTTGACTCCAGTGTCAGCTTGTTCCTGCTGTACTTTTATATACTGCCACTTTCTTTCACGATCTCTCTCCTCCATTCATTTCCAGCATAACTTCAGTATTTTATGTGAAAAACTACTGTTCTTTATAATTCTTGCATGGCCTTTTCTAGGTTAAATCCTCTGCGCAGCTCTATCTCAGCGTGATAGACTCTGTATTCCCAGTTAAATCAGTGACTGATGAGCGGCGTTGGCTGCAGCGCAGTGTCGTCCAGAAACATGGCTTCTAATTGGACAGAGCGAGATTACCGCCACAAGCATTTAATAAGTGTGAGAACTGACTCTCAGCTGAATTAACTCATTTCTGGAAACATGCAGTAAATCTCTGTGGGTAAAGTGAACTTTTTTCTCTTTGCTGTGCTCACTGACCAGACCAATCTCCATTAAATTCACTGGGTAATTAATGACTTATTCTCTGATGTGTGCACTCTGTAACGTGTCACATTCATTTCTCCTCAGTCCTTTCTGAAATGGATGAATTCACAGAAGATGTGCATCCAGAGACAAGATGATTCATTTTCCAATTTCACCACATAAATAATGGATAGGATTATATTTACTGTCAGGAAATGTGCTAGTTTATGAATATAATTTCACTCTTCATTTGCTCCGAACATTGAAAACATTAAAATCAGATGGTAGCAGGTGTATAAGCTGCTGATGGGCGTCAAAAAGCTCTAATGAGCTATATGAGACTCCTGTCTTTCCATTACTCAAGATTAGGTACAGAGGGGGAAAACAATATTGGCTTCGATCCCAAAAAAAACATCAAATAATTAAAATACATGCATAGAATAATTGGTACTTTTTCTGATTCAACGTTTCGAGACACCTTGTGAAAAAAAAAAGGTATCAAACACTACATTAAGCTCAGTTCATGACTGAAATTAGTTTAAAAAGTTTCTATTTAAGTAAACCGGTCACATTGCACTGAGTATTTTAGTGAGCCTGCATGTAGCGACAGTGGGGCTACATGCATAAATTTTTTATCCATCACTGAGTAAAAGAAAGAATAATCCAACTACAAGTGATTTTTATAAATTCTTGTTTTAAAAAAATACAAGATTTTGCGCATTTTTAAAATTTAGTTGTATTTATAATTCTGGAAACAGCTTAAATTTTACATAGCATTATTTTCTGTGGGATTTTTCTACTTCTTAATGGATATTGCTCAATTTATAAAAAAATAAGTAAAATAAAAAAAGAAGAGTAGAAAATTTTAGCATTTTTTTTAAAGAAATACATTGTGCTGTCCTTATTTTTTTTTATCTTGTTTTACATGCAGTCTGAAGAACCACTTGTTAAGTTTCAGCTCTTTTTAGGGTACAACTAACGATTATTTTAGTAATTGATTACTCTATTGATTATTCTGACGATTAAAATATTTGGCACATTATACAGATTTGTCATTTAACCATTTCAGCTTTTTTTTTTACTAAAGTTTTTTAAATACATTAAAAGATACACATTTTATTGCCTAAAATGCAAAAACAATGCATTATTTTAATACATTTGAACCAGGTGAAACTAATGGTTGTTTTTATATTAAATGGAGAAGTATCTATATTTTGTACAGTTTTGTCTTAATTACTGTTCTGAATATATTGTTTTTCAGCTTTTTTGAGTGTCTATTCCCCAGTTAATGACTAATCAATTACTACATTAGTTGACAATTATTTCAGTAAGTGATTAATCACGATTAATCACTTCAGCAGTTAATTTTTGGTTGTACTCTTCCGTTTTTGTCCAAAGCCTTGTCGTTTAGCATGATAGTGATGAGCTTAATGAAACCACCTGGAGGCGTTGGCAGAGAGCCACAAGCCGACCCGTTAAAGCCCCTCATGTTGGCTTGGTGGTGATGGGAAAACCTGAAGCGACGCTGAGCCCGGCTGGAGGTTTGACGAATCCTTGAACTCTCCTTTCACTGCAGGAATGACAGCTCCAAGTGAGAAAACCACAGACACAGAAGAGCAAAACTGCTCTTTTTTAAAGTCTCGCCACTTCAGATCAGAGTAAAAAAACAACCATAAGTCACCTTCAAAGGATTTCTAATGATTCACTTTTATATTCTCTAGGACAGTGGTGTCCAAAGTGCGGTCTGGGGGCCATTAGTTGCCCTTCGATGGATATTTTGCGGTCCCCAACTGCAATTCAAAAATTATACAAATTTGGAATTTTCTCACAATTGAAAATGTAAAGTGCAACACAAAGCATTAGACTTTTTATAACCATGGTTTAACAAAAGGAAAAACCACATTTACTCAAACATACTTAAATGATGCATCCAAAACCGTTTTATTTAATTTATTAAACTTGACTAAATATAGCAAACAGTTTGAAAGAAAGTGATGCAAATCCTGTTCTTGTTACTGAAAATAAATGTATTCAATGGATCCCAAAAGAAACTCAAAATCAGATGATTTTCTTTTAAAAGCATCTCTTTTCTTTTTTCAAAAAACCATCTAGCTCTTTTAAAAAAGTTGTAAAGTTACACAAAAAAAACTGAAATTTTGAGAGTAATCTCATAAATTCTCTACAAAAAAAAAACATTGAAATTTCAGAGTTCCAAATGTCAACAATTTTCGAAAGTCAGAAACTAGTTTCTGGCGCAAATATCTTAGGAAACATGAAGACAAAACTGACAGGTAACTTTTCAACAAGATAAAGGAGCGTGTTTCAAGTAAATAATTCTTTAATATTAATGAACAAGTTCTAGTTCAATTGGCAGATTATGTCATTATAACACTGGAAAAAGCTCCAATGTCTTGATGAAAATTTACTTGTAAGTTAGTTTTGTCATCTCAAATTTACTAACACAATTGCACCAGAAACTAGATAAAACTATTTTGTAAGGTTCTGTGTTTTTTGGAGTGTTGGAGAGAAGAATTGGACCCCTTTCATTAGAAGAACAGTGCAGATCTTAATAGCATGAAGCTCTGGGAAAACGGAGCGTAAGCTGTTTGTGGAGGTCAGACATGGCAGCAGATTAGGTTAATGGATGTAGAAAATAATGCTGCGACACTCTGATGCTGCCAAGTTTAAAAGTGAACACAGATCAATATTCTGATTAAAACTGTCCAGG